TAGCATCCTAAGGGACGCCCAAACTGTTTCTCAGTCTACTCTCTATTTGTATAGCTAATTAATCCAAATGAAGCATTTATTAACTTTAATTTTAAAGTCTATTTAACTTTAATTTCTTACATGTATTAACATATTCTTAACTATGAAAATGCGCAGCTTTTCCTTGTCATTTACACTGCTTCTCTCCCCTCTCCCTCCTCCCTGTTTCTATTTTTGCTGTCTGTTTATGTATCATCTACCACAATGATGGAAAGGGTAGAAGAGTAAGAACGAAATAGAATGTTCTACTAAAATCTCAATAAGAGCCTACACAGTGGCTTACAGATGTAGTGGTTCAAAACAAGGTAATCTTTCTTTTTCCAACAGTTGTGGAGGAGGGGATTATAAACTGTGTTAAAACCAGGATGTGAGCAACTTTGCATTCCTTTCCAGAGACTCTGAGGGAGAAATCTGTATTCCACCTATCTTTTTTAACCAGGCATTAAAATTACACTATAAAATGGAATTGACAGTTTAGCTGTGGGGCTGTGGCAAAAGAAGCCCCCTGCAGCATGGCTGCTGCAGGGGGTGTCCCAGCCAGGCCAGACCCAATGCTGGAGACTCAGGCCATGGTCACTGCTGCCATGCGGTAACCAAGTCCTAGACTTTGGGCGGCCACTGCACCCATAGGGTGCCAGGCTCTGCCTGCTGGCTGCCCGGCAGCAAGTTCTAGGGTTTTAAGGATATGTAATTGCTGCCTAGGGATATACATTGATATGACCAATGTGAGTGTAGGTGAGGGATAATTCCTGCATGATTCCCAGTGACCTGGTTTCAGAACATTCTGGCAAGCATGGGGACTGAGGTCCATAAGATCCATTTGAGCCAGACTGATTCACCAGCCTACATAGGAGTCCTCAGATAGGATGTTAACGTAGAGCATCATTGACTGCTACACGCCAGTCCACACAAAAACTATGGCTGGGACCTATCTGGCAGTGTAGGTACCAGTACCTGATGGAGTGTTGGAACACAGGATGAGTGACACTAGGCAGGGTCATGACACTAACCAGCACACGAGAGAACCAGGTCCGAGGGTAGATTCTGTGGGGGATGTGTGGGCCAAACCTTGTGGAAATACGAATCCTGCTGGTTAGCTCACAATTTGGTGTGGTGTTGGGCTAAGCTATGTGTGACCATGGAACCTACCATCACTCATGGGTAAAGGAACTGACAACAGTCTGGGCAGGTCAAGGCAGCAGCACCCGAATGTGCATCCTAAAACAGGATGCTGGGTGGGCTGTGCTGCAACATTTATCAGCTTATACAAGGCCAAAATGGAAAGGCAGACTATGTAGGGCACTGACCTAACACCCACTGGCATGTATGAGATCTGGGTCTTGGAGTAGGTCAATTGGGGGACCTTGGGAAACTCCCCTGGTGGGTCACAACTCTCACTGATGATCACATGGTTCAGGCCTGAGAGTCGGGCAAACTGGGCATAGTAGCTCCAAAGGCTGCCTAACTGTGTGGATTTGTTATGGAAGAGGGCAGACTGGGCAGGGCCAAACAAACCTTAGCTCACAAATAAGAACAGAAATCAGGATGGAGCCACCTCATGCTGAGCTAGGCTCTTAACACTGGCTGGTTGTTGAGCCAGGGAGGCCAGGACACAGCATCAAAAGCAAAGGCCAAGACAGGTGGGTGGCTGTGCAGATGGGTCAGAACAACCACTGGCATGCACGGGATCTGTGGTTGGGAAGCTAAGAGAACACCCAATTGGGGAGCTAAGAGAACACCCTGGCTGCATTGGGGTTTCCACTGTTGAATGAGGGGACCAGAGTGGGGGCTGTGTTCTGGTCTGGATATGGCTGCAGTGTCCCTTTGTACAAGTGTGGACTGGGACTGGGAGCTCTGAGTCAGGCTAGACTCTAACACCATCAGGTGCCCTGGAGGACCAGGGTAGATGTAGAACAAACTAGGCTAGGTCTCTGCCCCTACTGAGCATGGCAAGCCCCATACTGAGTATGGGCAAGCCTGGCTGGTCTATACTGAAACATCCAACAGTAAGAACCAGAATGGGTTGAAGGTCAGTCAGAAAACGCCACTGTTCCTGCCAGGACAGAGGTGGACTAGGTAGGGCTGACACGTGGACCCATCAGTATGTGCAAGATCTGGCATAGGGAGAGGTTCTGATGGAGGAGCACGTCCTCTGGCAGGACACAGTCCCTGCAGGTGAGTACAAGAACCACAATAGGAAGCATCCCAGAACAGGTCAGGGAAAGGTACCTACCAGCATACATTTGGCACAGGTCAGGAGCGGACCAGGCTGAACGAGGTTACATCACCCACTGGTGAATCCGAGCACCAGAAGAGAGTGTGGGTCGTGCCAGGTATGGTTGAAACACATACCAGTACACATTACAGCTGGGACTGGGTGCAGGCTGGTCTTGGCTAGGCTGTAACCCTACCAGTGTCAGCCGGAATTGGGGGTGTGCCACACCAAGTTACAGTACCCACTTGCAAATGCCAAGGTGAACGGGGCTAAGCCAGACTGGGCAGCAACACCCAACCAGCACATGTGAGAACTGGCAGGGGAGGGGGAAAAACCAGCAGGGGGAGTGTGGAGGGCTCCCCTGCTGGACAGCCACTCCCACTGAAGTGAGTGAGTTGGGATGGGGGCAGACCAGACCAGGCAGAACTACAACATCTGTGGGCCTCATGTGAGCTAGGTCAGGGAAAAGCCAGGCTGTGCTGACTGTTCTGACTGGTGCATGCATAAATCAGAGTGAGTGAGAGTTGGTTGGGCTTTTCCACATCATCAGCTGGCAGAGGCTGGCACTGGGGCTTAATTCTGCCAAGGTAAACCTCAAAACACCTGTGGAGAGTGCATAATCTGGGAGTTGGAGTGGCCTTGGAGAGAAAAAGTGGGCACCTTCTTCTTGGATTACTACTCCCACTGGACAGCATGGAAACCAGGACAGGGACAGGGGTGGCTAGACAGAATGGCACCTGCCAATATGTGTGTGGGCTAGAAAGTAGGGCAGGTTGGGTTGAACTAGGCCTCAGTGCCAATTAACATGTATGAGAGCTGAATGGTATATGAGACAGACTGAACAAGGCTGCTGTACATACTGACAAGCATGGGAATCAGGATAAGGGGCAGGCCTGAGGGATTATGGGGAGTCACCCCAACTAGGCTGCAGCTCCCATTGGTTTGCGTGAGGGTCGAGTTTGTGCTAGGCATAGTCAGGCTTGAGTGCAACACCCATTGCTTCACGTGGAAGACAGAACTGGAAACAGAACTGACCCAGCAATTGAAATGACCAGCATGTGCATAAGCTGATTGGGGCGATGGACTGTGCCAGACCCTGTACTGACAAGCATGCACAAGAATCAGGTCTGGGATCACCGCAGATGAAGTTTCTTTGGAGATCCCTCCAACTGAACTGCTGATCTCAGAACCACAACCGTGAAGAGACTATGTCCGCCAGTGGATTCTGAATAGATTTCATCGTGCTTAAAACAGTGAGAATGGCAGCAATTCAGAACTTTTGAACTATCAAAACTGCTTGAGCAGGACCCTCTGAGCGTGCCTCACACTGGGGACTTGGATGGGTGGGAGGCTGTGTGGGGCTTTTCCCTTTATCTTTCCCCTTACCCCGGACATAGAGAGAAAGAATAATATTAATGTGGAAACAATGGTCTTACCCACTTTCCTGTAGCCCTTGACCCTTCATACCCTAATCAACATGTAGAGATTGCAAAATAAAATAATAAATTAAAAAAACAGAATTGGCACTTAAAATTTGCAGATTTCAGGGCATTTTGGGTTATGGAGTTTCAGTGCAGGAATTCCTCACGTGTAAGTTTTGCAGACATTTTAAAATATGAAGCACAATGAAATGTGAATTATTTGTGGTTTCAAGTATGAAACTGCTGATAAAATATTTCCAACACAGCGTTTTGAACTCATGCTTTTACCCAAAATTATTACTAGATAAATGTTAATAATACTCAGAATTTGAAAGTTTCATATTTAGAATATTTTTGGATTTAGCCCTTCAGGTACAAGTTCTCTTACCTGAGCTTACTGATACAGAATCATTTGCTTACCCAACCTGAAGCCTGTAAGCAATGCTTCCTTTCTTGTGCTGTTTTGGATGCTAACCAGGAAGTCAAACATAGTGAACGCATCACTGAAGTAGCAGCTCTGTTATGTTTTCGTTGTATTGCTATCAGCGGTAAATTCAACAGGAAGAACAAGTAACTCTCCTGAAACCTTATGACCTTGATGAGTTGTGAAAGTACTGAATGCTTTTCCCAGGAGAGATAGTGTGGTAGAAACAGCAGATAGTAACATTTTGTCTAGTGGCTCTGGGTATTAGGAAATTATACTATGCATCCTCAAATGCATATAATTGGTGTCCCTTTGTCAAAGGTAGTGCATACAATAAGTATGTATGGCGATTCTTAGATTTGATCCAAGGTGTACATATTCTCGTGTAATTCAGTCAATAAATTTATCACTCCAGCATTCCAGAATGCTTAACATTTGCAAACATCTCTAAGAATAAGATAAGTGAAGACAGTATACAGTGATGGTTAAAAAAACGGACTCTGGAATCAGAGTACCTTGTTTTAAACCTAATTTGATAACTCATGAGTTGCTTCACCTATCTGTGCTTCAAATTCTCCATCTGTAAAATGGGCATAAAAATAGCCCTATTTCATATGGGGTGATGTGAGGATTATATAAAGAAGTGTGAAATATGTATGAAATAGTCTGTACTTGATAAGAACCCAAAAATGTTAACTACTTCTATACACAAATTGGGCTTATTGTGAATGCTTAAATTTAGAACTTTATGATATTCAAATTCATGTTCAAGAAAAAAATTCATGCATTTTTTTTTTTTTACTTAAAGAACACTTCAAAAAGGCAATTTTTTTTTTGAGACTGTCAATATCTTTTAGGTTTAAAGCTTTGAAAAAACAAATATGACACTGTTAATTGGGAGACCAGAAATAGTCTCCCTAAGAAACTGTTGAATTTATCTAGACAATAAGATGCTGGACTCTATGCATGATACATATTTGCAATGAAAGAATCATGACTGGATTTGGACTGTAATACTGCAACAAGGTGGAGGAATCCACCTTGAGCGGAGGGTATGAGGAGGGGTTGGGGGAATCCCAGAGCCTATGAAACTATGTCATAAATGAAATGTACTTAAAATTAAAAAATAATTAACATGGGAGTTAAAAATAAAATATACATAAGAAGATTAAAAAAAGAATTCAATAAAGAAACTTAAGAGATATTAACATTTTATTAGCCAAATATGTATGTTGTAGATTTTGAGTAAGTGTTGGCTTTTATGTTGAAATTTTCATGCTTTTTAGAATAAAAATTTTAAGTTGCTAATACAAATTGATTTTAAGTAGTACGATCAGTATTTCTTCTGATGCCAGGCACAAATATTTTTAACATAAAGTGCGTATGCAAGTACAAAGTAAGATTCTAGCCGATTCTAGCTCTGGGTTGAATATTTTTCCAAGTGCATGTCCTCTGCCAAGTGATCTTATCAGTGAGCCAATTGTACTGGGGCCAAGAAGCAAGTGAAACGTTTTTTTCCCAAAGATTAGACATCAGTATCTGGGCATTTAAATTGAATTTCCAAAAAAAATTGTTCAGAAGAGAAATTGTCATTGTAGCGTACATTGCCCTCAACTATGCAATATTCCAAACATCCATTTCATGTAATTTGTCTTGAAAATTTTCCACTCACTTGTGATAGCAATTGATTTTTCTTTTGTTATTTCACAAGTTTATGTTTTTATTATCTTGCATTCTCATAAAAATAATAAGAGTGATTTTTCTTAAAACATAGGTCAGTTTGCAGCCAGAAAAGAGTAAAATCTTGAAGCTAATGTAATGGATTTAATCGATTTTTTGTTTTAGTTCCCAAAACATATACATTATTGCATTTATGTTAGCAAACCAATTCTGTGCTTTTCAAATTAAGATTTAGGAACATAATAATACTTCCAACCTTACTTTCTCTTCTGCCTGTGTTTCCCACCCATCCTGTCTCTTCCTTTCTTCCTTCTTTTTTACTAAGATTTACAATGACAAGGACAAACTCTTCGTTCACTTCACAATCACAGGATTAACACTTCATCAGGTAAAGGATTCAACAAATAGCAAGTATAAAAAAATACCCTAATATTTCTCAAGAATATAGTCAAAGGCTGTAAACATTAATCAAATCTCAAAATGTCAAGTTCCTTCATACAGATTACATTTTTGTACTATGTGATTAGTTGTCACAAATAAGGGAATACATGAAGGTTTACATATGGGGGTCAGAATCATTTAGCAAGTAAAATCACTACCCTCAAAAACAAAACAAATCCTGGCTGCTCCACTTCTGATCCAGCTCCTTGTTTCACACCTGAGAAAGTGATGGAAGATGGCACTATTACTTGGCCCTTGCACCCAGGCGCAGGCCTAGAAGATGCTTCTGGCATCCTTCTGGTACAGGCCTAACTCTTGCAGACATCTGGGGGAGCCAATCACAGATTGACTCTCTCTTTTTCTCTCCTTGTCTCCAACTATGACTATTAAATAAATAAGATAAACATTTTCTAAAATAAAGCTTATTTCTTTTTGTTTGGATGTTAGCGTGACAGAGTAAGAAGGAGAGACGTCTTCTATCTGTTGGCTCCCTCTCAAAATGTTGGAAAAACAGCTAGAGCTATGATTGCCTAAAGCCAGGAGCTTGGAACTCATGCATGCCCCATGTGTGACTAACACCAAAACACTCCCAGATACAGTGATAGGCATTGATAGGAAGGCAAATTGTCAATTAAGGTGGTAATCAGCCCCAGGTAATCTGACATGGGATGCTGAAGTCCTAACCAATGGCTTATTGCTCTATAACACAGCACCCATCTCACGGTGTGCTATTGTCCATAGGTTTGGGTTCCTTAGTGTGATTCCTACACTGTGGAGATACGGAGCTTGAAGTTTAGATGGAGAGAATAAATAAGTAGAACAAAGGAATCTGAGAGGCCATGCAGAAATTCTTTATTAAGTTTAGGAATAAACCACTTAAGTCACACTGATCTAAACACTCAAAGGGAAGTGTGTTGTGTGGTTAACACGTTACTACATGGGATGTCTCTAAGTTTCATTCTATATTCAATACTACCTATCACACATTTTTTTAAAAACCATGCTCATTATTTTTTGTCTTCATGGTGTTTAAAATGTTGTTTTCACCTGAGCCTTTGGGATAGACAAAATGAGAAAAAAATATGTTTTGAACTCTGCATCATCATGACAAAATTGTGTCTCTCAATATCAAGTCAATATTGTCCTCACTGATTGTGTTGAGTGACAAATAAAATCTTACTATGGAAGATTCAACAGTGTGCTTTAACCAGCAAATGTGACTGAAGAACAGTGATATGTGAAAAATCATCTTGTATATTAAGTCAAACATTGATAATTTTTTGGATTAATTATAAAATTAAAACTAAAATATAATTGATGCATGAGACTTACACAATGGCTTAATTGAGGCCAGTGTGGTGGCATAGTAAGCTAATTCTCTGCCAGTGGTGTTGGCAGCCATTGTGACTTCCTTCGGTGTTCTGGCTGGTCCACTTCCTTGCTGGTGGCCTGAGAAAGTGGTGGAGGATCGCCCAAGGCTTTGGTTCCCTGCCTCCACGTGTAAAAGCCAGAAAAAGCTCCTGGCTCACAGCTTTGGACTAGGCCAGCTCTGGCGATAGTGGCCATTTGGAGAATGAAACAGTAAATGGAAAATTTCTTTCTCTCTCTCTCTGTAGCTCTGACTTTCAAGTAAAATAAAATACCTTGCTTTCTATTATTTATGTTATACATTTAGCATTCCACTTCTAAACATTTAACTTCTGAAAAAAAATTGTGCCAATTTTCTGTATTCCCTTGCTCACCGTGTAAGTTTCATTCACTGATGTTTTCAAATATTGAATAGAATTTAGCTTGACCTATGTCACAGAATATTCCCTAATAATATTCTGACAATATACAAAGAGAAATCTGGAGGCAGATACTGTGGTGTAGTAGGAACATTAGGAATATAGATTGGTATCAAAGTGCCTGGGATCACATCCAGCCTTTTCTAATCCAGTGTCCCACTGATGCGCCTGGCAGGCAGAACATGATACTCACGAGCTTGAGTTCCTACCGCTGACATAGGAATCCCAGATGCAATTCTAGGTTCCTGGCTTCAACCTTCTTCTGCCCTGACTGCTGCACTCATCTGAGGAATGAACTTGTTTCTATCTCTCTCATATCCGCCTCTACCTTTTGAACAAAAACAACAAGACAAAACTTAAAAAAAGAAAACAATTTATTTTGTGCCTCCTTATTTTGGACAACCTTTCAGTTCATCTGAGACAAACGTGTCGTTTTATGTCTGTCTTAATATATGCACTATATAATTCATGTAGCAAATGATTTAGCAGTGTTAGCTTATTGGCATTTATGTTAAAACTTTTATAGTGCTCTCCTATTGTAAAACTGCATATGTGCCATGATTTTGTTGGCTTTTTGTTTTAATGCACTTTCACTAGAGCTAGGGTAATCATGTAATTAACTACTCAGGGAACACATAGAGATTGAAAGTAGGAACAATTAATAATCATTCCAGTTTGACAGATGCAAACTGGAACTGTCCTGGGAAAACTATGATGTAAAACAAGTGTTGGAAAACTGCGTTCTACAGTCCAAAACCAGGCTGTATACAGCCCCACATCTACCTGTTTCTGCTTAGCTCACAGTGTAAGAATTTCTATATTTAAATAGCTGGAAAAAAATCAAAGAAGAATATGTTCTGAAGTGAAAATGATACAAAATTTAAATCTGAGTATCTGTAAGTAGAGTGTTTTCAGAACAAAATCACATCAAATCATTTATATATTATCTATCTGCTTCCACGTTACAATGGCAGAATGGGATAATTGAAACATATTACATTATCTAAGATATTTCATTGTCCGCAGAGTGGGCATTTGGAGTGATGGTTAATATTTGCATGTCCTATAACGAAGTGCCTGGGTTTAGCATCAACCTCCAGCTCTTGATTGTAGGTTCTGGAAGGCAGAGGTGATGGCTAAAGTAACTGAAAACCTGCTGTCTAGGTGAGACGTGTGGATTGAGCTTATAGCACCTACTTTCATGGCCTTAGCCTAGCTGGTGGTGTAATATTTGGGGAATGAACCAGCAAATGGGCATTTCCTCTCTCTCTCACTCTCTGTTTGTCAAACAAATTTTAAAATTAAAATATAATGTTTGGTGTTTGAATCTTTATAGAATAAATACTGGTCCATGCTACAGAGTGATCCTAGTCACATTTCAACATATGCCATCTGTTTCAATAACAGAGGATCTTGCCAAACGCTTCTTTTTTTACAGGGCATGTCAAATGGCAAACAAGAAATAACAATTGCCTGTTGTTTTTTTTTTAAGACTTATTTTTATTATTTCTTTATTGGAAAGGCGGATATACAGAGAGGAGAGACAGAGAGGAAGATCTTCCGTCCAATGATTCACTCCCCAAGTGAGCGCAACGGCCGATGCTATGCCGATCCAAAGCCAGGAGCCTCTTCTGGGTCTCCCACGCGGGTGCAGGGTCCCAAAGCCTTGGGCCGTCCTTGACTGCTTTCCTGGGCCACAGGCAGGGAGCTAGAAGAGAAGCGGGGCTGCAGGGATAGAACCGGCGGCCATATGGGATCCCGGACGTGCAAGGCAAGGACCTTAACCACGACGCCACCGCGCCGGGCCCAATTGCCTGTTGTTAATGTTGATATTTTTGGTGATGTTTTTAATCCACTACATTTCCTGTTGACTAGGTACTCTCTGCCATCACAGTTTCTAGTTATTAATTTTCATATAAATCTGAAATAGTTTGTTCTTTAAGAACTAGCCAGTTTTTCAGTCTCCATTTCATCTGACAAGAAATTATTGGTAGAGCATGAAAGCAGTTTTGACTGGTGAATGCATGTTAAAATGTGTGGCATGACACAAACTTAAACCAACCTCATTTTGCCCTGC